ATGTGGGAATAAATTCCACTGAACTCAGTGGTGCTTATTTCTGACTGCATCACTTCAACTTGGACACTTTTCAGCTGTTAAAAGACTCTTCAGCCAGCAGAAATGCAAGCATTTCCAGATGAGTAGTGGACATCAGGTCAGTCTGTGGCCGCAAAAAAAGCAAAGGCATTTGCTTGTGGCATTTGAAGACAGACGGATGTTTTTGAGTATCTGCCTCTGTTGCAGGCCTGTTTTTGCCTGGGATATGGAATTACAACCCCTTTGGTTGCCTTGGTGAATGACCTACACCATAACCAGGATGGTGGGTGGAAATGACCCTTTTAGTTGTCTTGGACCTTGGAAGAGTTTCATACCATCAGCCATGGTGTTTTTGGGTCATGTGATGCAGAGCTGAGCACTGGGGATCATTTTTTGTAGCATTTGGTGCTTTCTGTCAGGTTAGCTTTAGAAAGAATTCCTGTACAGCTCCACAAGCATCTTATTAACAGTGGCCATTCAGAAAGTTGCAGCTGCTGATATCATAAGCATCCTGGATCTTGGTAAGACAATTAACTCCACTGTTACCAGTGTGATTTCTAGTGCCATTTTGTTTTTAATGTCCTTTTGATCTCACCGTTTCCTGTTTCCACTTGTTCTTTCAGGTTATGGGACAGCATAGCAATGTAAATACATAAATAAATAGCAAATGGTTATTATTCAGTTGCAATATGCACTGTGCATCTAACACTGTATAGCACTGTACTATATTTTTATGCTATGTGGAATGTAAGTTTATTAAATTCATGCATAAGTTAATTAATCAATCAATTTATTATACATATAATCCAACCTTTTTCTTTTAAAGAACTCAAAGTGGCTTAAATCATTCTCCCCCTGCTGCTCTCAGTCTTATTCCCACAACAACCTTGTGAGGTAGGTTGGGCTGAGTGTTTATGACTGGTCTACAGTTACCCATCTGGCTCCATGACCAAGTGGGGACAAGAACCCAAACCATCTGCCTGCCCATCCCACACTGTTAGCCACTACACTGGCTGTCAGTGGTTATGGATGTATAAATAACATATATGTACCTGAAACTCTTGATAACACTTCATGGACTTGATGACATGTGCTATAGTCCATGAAAGCTTATGCCAGAATAAATTTGTTAGTTTTTAAGATGCCACAAGACTTGGTTTTTGCTAAAATATACAAGACTATTCCTCTGGAAAGAGCATTGCGTGATTTTAGGAGATGGCAAATTTAAAGTAGGAACTCCATCACAGAAAAGGAAAGAAGTTTCCAGCTCCCACCTGAATTCCCATGATTTGATTTTCTCTATGCCATCTAGTCTCTTTCACAAAGCAGAGGTGGCCAGTTTGTGCCCCTCCAGGTGCTTTGGCCTACCACTCCCATCAGTCCTGATCAGCACGGCCAATAGTGAAGGATCATGGGGATTGTGGGCCAAAATATCTGGAGGGCCACAAGTTCCCCACCCTTGCCATAAAGTTTGTACGAATCAGTGACACTTGAACGGATTGTACCACTTGAAAGCCTTGTTTTGGCCTTGCTTGCTTGCCACAGAAAGAGCTCAGCATTCCAGCTCCTGCTCTTGCAAACTGCCGAGCAGCAGCAATGCTTTTCTCTGTTCCCTGCCTGCTCCACCATGCAGCATTTTTCTGCTCTTTCCTCAGCTAAAAAGCATGCTAAGTGTACAACATGCCCACGGAGCTGCAGAGGGCCAGGGAAGACCTCCAATTATGCACCATCACTCTCAGTATTTAAAATTATGTTAGGATTATTTTAAGAGCTGAACATCTCATTGCTCTTGCAACCGCCCTACAATATTCATCAACAGATGGAGGAACCAGTTCTCGCTGTTGTGCTCCCTCCTGGAGATCTGCATCAGCATTTAAGGCAAAAGGATTTAACGGAATAGGCAAAAAAACAGTGATACACGCAAGCATAATTGTGTAAAACTGATCCCAGAATCCCAGGGGTTTCCCAGCACAGCGATAGGTGTTTTGCTACCACTTGGATAAAATTGGCTTGAATTTGCTATAAAGCCAAGTGCTGCAGGTGCAGTTCTACCTGTGCTAAAAATCAAGGAAATATCAGTATCACTGATTACATGTTTAGTTGTAGAGTTGTCAAAAGTGATAGGGTCACTGCATCTTCTATACGTATCAGTTTGGTTCCCATACAGTGGTGCATTCCACTGAAAGGCATTGCGGGGGGGTGGTGCTTTCATACTTGATGTCGCACTTATCAAATGTTAAAACGAACAGGCCATGATGATTGGAGACGGTAAGTGACTGTGATCATCACCTTTGCCATCTGGCTTAGCGATGGTGCAGCGTTCACTTCCAGAACACAAGACAGCACACGTGGGTCATCTGAAGCCTATTACAGGAGCACAGTATCGGAGACAGGAGTCATTTAGCTTGAGTGCTCACGAAGAGGGACAGAGCAAGCATTTACTTGCCTGCATCGCCTGGATCAAGGGATCCAGGTAGCAGTTGCTTTCCCTTCTGCATTGGTTGCAGTTTCCATACGGTGTGAAGAGTTTTTAGTATTGCATATTCCCCCACACCCAAGTCACCCAAGGGGGACACTGCAGATTTAAAAATAAACGGCAGACTGACTATTGTTCCCTTAATAAATATTTTCCCTTTAAAGAATGAAGCCACTATATTTTGGCCAGGCCATGAAAAAGTATGACCATGTGTGTACCTGTTCCTACAAATACTACTCAAAATAGAGTGCAGCTCTGTTCCTTGAAAATGTAATGTTCACATTGTAGCACATGGTACTCAATCTTGGACCTGAACTCCAGTCGGGAGTATACAGGCGGGACTATATACATACCGACTGTTGGATAGTCTGAATGAATGAAGCAGAGAAGGTGTAGTTTCTGTCCTTGAATGTGTCCATGCATCTAGACACATGAGAACTTGTTCTGTGTCAGGTTGGGGTTATTATTTACCTCCTTTCTATACTGCCTGATGGCACACGAGCATTTAGGCAGTGGACTTTTTACCCCAACTCAGATTCCCTTGAGGTTGCTCCCATTAATCACAGCAACTGCCTTGATTGCCAGACAACACTGGTGATGGTGGCGGCGGAAGGAATGGCAGAGGTCACATCCAGGTGCTCACAGCTTCTTTAGCAATGATGAGAAAGTGAATGAGGGGTGACACCCGCTAATGCCAGTGCCAGCAAGACAGCAGATTCACTGAAGGAGGTGGCCCACTGAGTGGCTCTTGGCCCCCAGTAGCCTAGAGCTGGCACAGCTGCAGTCACTGTCCCAGCCCACTGCCTGGTCAGTCAGTTGGGAGGCCCATCCAGTTGAGCCTTCTTAAAATGGTGGAATGGGATGCTGTAAAGCTCCTGTTCTTCTCCTACTCTGCTGGGATCTTGCCAACAAGGCTTTGGACAACATGGAGGGCTTCAAGGTCAGAGCTTTCCGCCAATCAGTCCCTTAGGAGTACAATAAGAAGGCACAATGCTATGCCTGCTATCTAGATGGCCATGGAATAATTCGGAATCCCAGCTCAGACCTTGGAGGAGTGCACTTAACTATGGAATTCACTGCCATAGTAGTGATGGTCACCAGTATGGATGGCCTTAAAGGGAATTGGACAGATCTATGGAGGAGGAGGCTGTCAGTGGCTGCTAGCCTTTCTGGCTATGTCCTACCACCTTTACCAGAGGCTGCATACCTGCATACACCAGTTGCTGAGCAGCTTGGGCAGGGAGAGGTCTTGCACCCATCCTGCTTGAAGTGATCTTGTGGCTAGCTGGGTTGCCACCATATGAGTGCTGGACTAGCTTGACCTTTGGTCAGATCCAGCATGGTTCTTCTCATGTTCGTAGGCACCAATATCAGAACTAGGATGTCAGATTTGCAGCTCTCTCACTTTGCCCTCACAGTCCTTTCTGCACAGCTTGCAGCTCTGACGTCAGAATTGAAACCTGGAGCTGGTGTTGCGGGAGCCATTCCAGGAGTTGGGGAAGGGAAAAACTAGGCACCACCATCCTGCAAAGAAAATTGAACTGGTGCCTGCAGCCCTTGTCCTTGCAAGCAGATGTCAAACACTCAGGCAACGGAATTCAGCCATCTAGGTGAATTCTTACCACTTTGACTTTCTTACCATCAGATGCCCTCATTCCCTTGAGTTTGGAGGCTCTAAGGTAGTCATATTGGGCGGTGCCCTAAGAGTAGTTGAAAAGAAAGTTTCTGAATGGAAGCTTCAATTTTATTTGAAAATAGCTACACATTCTTAAAAGAATGCAATATTTTATGTCCAAGGAAGCCTCACATCTTAAAAAGAAAAGGCTTCAGTATGGTTTCATCTGTAATTTTATATGGGAAAGTCTGCTGAAGGTATTGGAAATAGTTTTAGACACTCTGCAGCTAGTTTTTAGCTATCCTTTGCTCAGTCACTGGAATCGTTGCCTAAAAAGCCAGAACTGAATTCCATATCATTTTTTAGAGCCAAAACTGAAGATGAGGCGTTATTCAGCCCAGGCATGAAATGAAATTGATAATGTGCTAAAACTGTAGGGGTTTGCCATGTCAACAAGACTAAGTAGAGGTTTATTACTGAGAATAGCCATCAGCTCAATAGGGGGCCATTTACCCAGAAAAGCCCCAGTGTAGCCAGAAGCTTTCTCTACCCAATAAACATTTTATCACCTCTTTCAGAGCATATCCACAACATCTTAACCGTGATAGAAAACTGAAAGCCTTTTCAGATGATAAAACTCCTGGCATGTTTATTCTTTAATGCTATATTTGTGCCACTCTGATCCAAGGCTAGTAGCGTGGATTTCCATGCCTACGCGATAGATTGGGCTCAGCCGTTGTGCTGTGGCAGAGGCTGGCATGCTGCTGGGAAACGTTTCCATTGGGAATGCGAAGATAAATACCAGGGTGGGCAAGAGTGTTGGGCAATAGCTCACCATACAAAAGGCCTTTGGAATGAAAGTTGTGACAGGCAAGGATGACAAAAGTACACTCCGACTGAAGCTTTTTAATTAGCAATTATGACTTGTGAAGAAAGCAACTCAATTTAAAATACAATTATCTTCAACATACAAAATAGTTCTATAAGCTAAATAATTGTGACTGCAATGCATATCATCATAATTTATACTTTCAATGTGAAAGGTGCATTACATTTTCTCAGCTGATTTTATAACATGAGCTTGAACTGGAAAATTGATCAGAGTTTCTGATGAGCAAAGTCAATGTACAGAGCAACCACTTACTCCATGCAAACTCGGTACATACTTGGTGGGTGAAACCCAGTTTTGCTGTAGCACTAGCACTGATAGGATTATGCTTGTTGAAATGTCGGTACAATGCAACTGGTGCTAGGTTGAGCGAGGGGGAAAAGTTGCCTCTGAAATTCAGCATTAGAAATATGAGAGTTTGTGCATCCCTATAGATTCACTAAGGGTATTGAAGAATGGAGCAAACAGACTTTAGGAGTGTGTATATAAGGACAAATTTAGAAAGTGTTCACTACTACAAGGGGTACTTTCCTTGGGACTTTCATAAATTGCAGAAAATGGGTGGGATTTGGGATGGCAGAGTGAGGAAAGTGGTTGCATATAAGGAAGTGTTTGGGTTTGAGATGTGTGTCCTATGACATAATGGGGAGAGAAAACAATCTTGTGTGGATAGGCTTGGTGACCGATGAATGGGAAATTGGGAATGACTTCGCAGGCTTTTCAGCTGGAAAAGGAGGAAAGGAAAGAGCAAATACCAGTACCTCGTATGTAGGGGAGTTAGAAACAAAAGCTGTAAAAGTTCTGGGAATGCCCTGACATCACAGCTTGTGAACTGGTATAAAAACCCTGCTCTATTTAAGCTACAAAATTAGACAGATTCTAAGTATAGTGACAATTGGCCTGTTATGTGTAATGGTGCAGGGCTTAATAACATTTTATCTAGCATTTGATGATCTTTTCTGGGTGTATCTGGATTTACTTTTATTTGAAGGTAATCTCATTTTTCTAGAAGCTTTATTGGTGTTGGTCGCTTTTTGAAATTAAAAGGTCAATGTTCAACCTGTAATGCAGAGGTAGGCCAAATGTGGTCTTCCAGATGTTTCGGTTAATAAGTCCCATAATTTCTTGCCACTAGCTGAACTGGCTGAGATGTATAGCTAGAACAATATACCCTACGGAAAACAACTTATTGCTTTCCTTTAACATTTGTTCTTCACTGCTGGCTTCTGTACCTTTCCAGCACAACCTTCAGAAAGTTCTAGAAAAATACTGGGGTTTCTGCCACTCCTCTCAGGGAGAGTTCATTTTTCTCTGTGTATAAGTCAAAGGCCTGGATGGGCACCTTCTCACCAAGCACCGGCAGAAAAATGCCAATGATGACAAAAAACAAAGCGACCCAGAGATGGGAGAGCAGGGTGGCATGTGTGATTGCCTAGCTGACCATCCTAGCAACAGGACGTATGCATCCTGCTTTTCTTCTTCGTTGATCTCTGCTGGTCTACAGCAGGCTGATGGACAAGGCAACATTTAGTGCATTACTAAAAGAACTCCTCTGAACAAGCTCTCACATCTGATGCATGGCATTTTATGTTCAGTGAATGAAGGAGTTGCCCACAGGACTATTGATATGAAGTTGAGTTACTGAGACAGCAACCAAAATGTTGACAGCATAATCTGCTACATGTCTACTCAGAAGTAACGCCCACTGAATTCAATGGATTTAGTTCCTGGTGAATCGGTAGTCTATTTTCTGGCAAGTGCAGCCTAGAAGACTGAAAAAAGAGAAGATGTAGCACCAACTATAGGTGTTCAATTTGGAGGGTTGCTGAATAATTTGAACGCCTAAATATAGGACCTATATTTGAGTTTTATTTGGAATACTTATATTTTTCAGTTAATTATATTCATTGTCAATATTGTAATGAATGCTGAAATCAAAATCTTTAAATATATATATGTTCCATTTTCAAAATCACTTGTATTTGGTCATGTGTGCTCTATCATATGAAACACGGCTTTATTGCATCTTTTTATACATTTGGAGAAAAAACTCCCAATCAAGTAATATATTGTAATTTTCGAAAGTAATGCATTTTAATACACCACCAAAGAGCCATTTAGTTGAACTGTGCTGGCATCAATTCAACAGGGATTATTAAATTCATGTCCTGCACCTGCTGGGTCAAGGGAAGTATAAAGCTCTTCACACGTGAATCATGTATAGAAGGTGGAAGCAGCCTGGATGTCATACAATTTCTTTGCCTCATCCCCAGTGTCAGGGCTTTAAATATGGACATCTGAGAGAGGGAACAGAGCCTGCACTGTAATGCACAGGTGTCAGAACCCTGCAGGATCGGAGTTTCAGCTTCTGTACAAGTGGTACACATACTTTCAGTTTCTTGTGATTTCAGTTGCTCAGTGCACTGTCATCTGGGGCAAGGAAGCAGCCAGACTAAGGGGGTGGTGCCATGAGAGCCTGGGGGTGGTGTCTCTTTCTATTCAAGGAACCGCTTCATGGGACGAATGCACAAAGGAAGGCTCAAAGGCCTGCTGTTTTCACTGTTCCACAGACACTGGCAACACTCTCACAAGTCAGTTCTCTGTGGTGGAAAAAGTGAATCTCTGCAACAGAAGCACTGCCTTGAGAGGGAAGTCTGGATCATGGCATACGACTATAAATCAATGTGTGAAAAAACAAAACAAAACAAAACAAAACAAAACAAAAGAAGACATTTCTGCCTGGAAATGCCCTATGTTTCATTAGCCTCTCTCCATCATGCATCACTATGTCATTCCATGGACCACATGTCTGACCTTTTTATAAAAACCTTCCAAAGAATCCATAAAGGTACGTATAAGTGAGCAATGAAGATCAGTGGGTTGTAATATTGGGTTGTGCTGGTGCTGTGTGCACTGCCAGCTGAGATCAAAGGGATTTTGTGATTGTCATGGGAAATGGATCCTCTGAAGTGCATTGTTTTCACTTAGGCTCTTCACTTCCCTGAGCCACTAAGGTCCAGGTGCCCCTATCTGGTCATGAAGAGATCTCATTAGGAGTATTGTCTCTTCTTCTCCTGCCCTTCTCCTGCCCAATTTTCACCCCAGGAGCCTTCCAGCCCTCTTTTTACCAATTTATCTTAAGGTCAGTGTTGTTGCCAAGCTGCTAGACACCTTCATGGGTTTTTGCAATGTCTGTATTCTCCCCAGTCTAGAACAACATACAGCAAATTGTTCTTTATTGATGACACACGGATAAAAAAATTCATTGAAGAACATAGCTTATTTTATTTTCACAGTTGCTTACCTTCTGTGTGCAACAATATAGGGATTTTGGTACAGTGGTCTGAATGTTAGCAATCAGGTGAACAGAAATGGCTCAAGCATGAACTGGAATCCGAGAACCTCCAGAAGCAAGAGTCTCCTTATTCTCCCCACCCGAAGATGCTGCGTTAGTCCCTGTGGAGCTGGCTTAATCAGACTAGGGCAGTGGGGTTGAATCTCCTTTGGCCAAATTCAATCTTGAAAGGCCAAATTTGATTTTGAAGAATTTCTCTGGGGCTGCACAAATAAAGAACCACTTCTAATGCCAGCATAGGTTAACTTAAAATTCTTACTGCCAGTAAATAATACTTCTGAGAGGCACTGCATTTTGGTTTTTTTGGTTACGAATGGAGGAAAACTGTGCAAAACCAAGGAAACCTCCAAAAGTGCAGTGGTCAGAAGAAAAGAAGTCTTTCATGGCTATCTGGGGAATCCCAAAAGACAAGAATGGTAGCCCAGGTTGAATTTGGCTTGAGATATGTCCCTAATCTAGGGGGTGAACTACATAGCAAGTGTTAGCTCAGGCAATGTGCACAAAGAGTCCACGTGTGGGTTACACAAGAGTTTTTCCTTTGAAATTAGTCTTCCCAAAATATGCTACAGAGATTCCACATCCGTTGGTCTTTAAAAGGTTAAAATTGATTTAGACCTTCAGAGCACGTCGCTCCAAAATAGATGGGCGAGTCGTAATGATAAGGGAGGAATAATTATTTTGGGCAAGAGATGGTCATTTTGAAATGTACTGGCACCTTACCAGGTGATTTCCGTATCAAATGACATTTGGATAATTACTTTGGATAATTACTGTGTGTTCAACCGTACTTGCTAGGGTTTATAAGAGAGCCTTCTTTTTTGTTGTTTTTTCCCCAGCATACCTGCCTTTATGAAAGTGGTTTAGTTCTATAGTGGACTTATAACATGTCAACCTGGTGTCTTTGAGCTGGTAAATGATATGCTTCTTGTATATTTGCATTAACTCCACAAAGTTAAGGGATAATAATATTCCACCGAAGGGCTGTAAAGCTCTAGTTTCTTCACTTAACCACCACAAAATTCAACAAAACTTCAGCTGAGATAGTTTATGTCATACTCAAACTCCTTCAGCACCTTTTACAATATTTTAATTTTCAAATATATCTTGAAAAGCTAACTTAAAACCCCATTTATTATCATTTCATTTTACCTGACTTGGAATTATTGAAACTGTGTCCTCAGAAACCCTAACATCACCATGGACTTCCAGCTGTACACAGCTGTATTTCTACTTTTGTACCAAAAGACAATCTTCCAGTTGTGGGTTTGTTTGTTTTGCACGATGTTTGTCAACCCATAAAGATCAGACCACTTGATGAGGGACGATGTCATCAGGCATGAGAAGTGGGGTTTGCAAGTGGGAAAGAACAGACCTCATCTAGGAGGCAGGAGAAGGGTACTTCAAAGGCAAAACAAGTCAGCTGCTTCTTTTCCAGATTTGCGACTTAAGATAATCTTCTGAGGCCTTAAGACGTCTTCATCATAACGAGTCTGAATGCTGGGATATCCTTCTGCAAATGAAAGGAGAATAAATAAAACAAAAATGGAGAGCCTAGTATGAATTGCAAGAAAATCTATTGGGCACTAAGGACTCAAGAGAAAACAATAAAGTCCAACCTATAGTGTTTGCTTTCTTGTCCACTTAGTACAATTAATTTCTATATAAAAACGGCTGTTTCTCAACATACTGGCAGTTTTGGTATAGAAGATAATCACATAATACTATGTGAACAACCCAAAACCACTGATGGGTTGAAAACAGCTGCAGAGTAGTGGCTTGCTGTTTCACAGCTGGCAGGACCAGTTACAGTATGCCAAGTACCAGCACAACACCCAGGATTCAGGTCAGTCTCCTAAAGCTGGCATCCTCCAAGTGTGATGGACTGCGACTCCCATGAGTCACGCTCAGAATGGACTATGCTGGCTTGAGGGTTAAATTTCAAAGCATCTGGAAGGCATCAAGCTGGGGAAGGCTAGCTTAAGCCTTGGTGGTTGTGTATGGGTCACTTCACTTATTTGTCATGCCTGAATACCTGGAGGGTGTACTCAAATAAATGAGAGAAAACAAATATAAGCCAGTAGTTGTATGTTACTATCATGGGAAATAAAAATATTGTGATATTTCATTGCACAGTGCTTGCTTGGACGATATAAAATACAGCATTATACGCACTCTCAAAAATTTGAATTAGAGACCACATCACTCTACTGAGGACTCGTAGCAGGCTGCAAATGAAGACGGTGCTATTTACTTAGAAAAGAAACTGTACTGAAGCATGATATTTGACTTCCTGTGGATCCTGGCTTTCAGCTTGTCTTTGGATCTTTAAAACTATGTTTAAAACCCCTGACATAATGCTATCTCTTACAACAATCAACCCATTAAATTTTCCTCTTTGAGGTTCACGCACACATACTCTGTCTTTCTCTCATCAGAGCTTCTTATCTTGCTTATACCCTTCTGATCTGATTACTAGCTACAATTCTGGGACCAACAGTGACTTGTGGCAAACAAAAATAAGTAGAAAATGCAGTTGACAGACTTTACAGACGAGTGTGATACATATTTTCCCCATTTCAAGCTAAATAATATATCACATTATGGTTCCTTCTCTTTCTCCTAACCCTTTTAATGAGAGGAGACAGAAATCTAAGCCCAGCAGATGTCTTTGACACAGATGAAAACTTTAACCCATGGATTGCTCCATGAAAAATAGATTTTCAAGACTCCTATGTTCTCAAGGATGCTCCGGAGATGACTGACACAAAGAGCTTGTTAAATTTTAAGGCAGCCTACTGCTAGCTGCAAGGGCAGGCCTCTCAGTTCTAGATACAGAGTTGTTCCATCTACAAACAAAATCGGTAAAAAATGAAGTAGCAGCCATGTAAAATTTCCGCTACAATGCCCCTCATTAGAGCCACATTGCTCAAAGGAGCTTTCAGGGCTTTTCCTTCTGGGATTGTTCACTCGCTTCCTAAAGGAATATTTATTCGGTGGAATTCTTCCCTCCCTCATGGGAATGATTTAGATTCATGTGAATCAGTACCTGGTCCTGTCAGCATCTTCTGAATTCAGAATTCATCTTTTAAAATCGTGTTTTCATCATGTCTCAAAGCACCTAAGTGTTCAAGCACCATTTGGGGCAGCATGCTGGAGAGTCAGCAATTTTTGGTCAGAAAGAACACTAGTTTTTTATTCAGACTGTCTTTATGAAGGTCAGCCAGAGATGTGGTTATCAAAACCTGTTGTGTGGAACTTCCGACTGTGAATTTGCTGCATGTTTCCAACAGAGCTTTCGTTTATCTCTACTGAAAAAAACAACCATGTGAGATACCTCTTTCAAGGAAATAAGCCCTAATAGAAATTCTGCTCTGTGCTCAGGATTAAACAAAACCGATTCATCAAAATGCCCTAGCAAAATATTAACACTGACTTTAAAATGTAAAACATATATTAGGCGTAACCTTGTAAACTGCTACATAATTAAGACTTCAGGCTGAAATCCTATATATGCTTATCAGGGGTCAGTTCAATAAGTCTGTAGGGCTTACTTTTGAGTAGACATGTGTAGGATCACAATGTAAGATTATCAACAAAGATCTGGTAAAGTGGAAGCAACTAATTATGAATACATTACTATCAAGGTACCGCTAACTTTTACCAAATATTTATGTAGGAAGAGCATCTCAGCAGCACAGTATGTTTTGACTTGCTACGAGTTTTACTGACAGAAAGTTATAAATATACAAACCAGTCAGGTGAAATAAATATTTGACAATCTTACATTTTAAAAGGGTATTTTAATAGTACGTTATAGCTTTGTAAGCCTAGCTTGTGAATACAGGATGAGCTCCAATTTACTTGACATATTTTGGAAGTTTTCCCATGCTATTCAAACCCAGTCAGGCAGCACTCTCCATCAGGGAGCTGCCAAACCCCATGGGCAACGCTCCTTGGGGGGAGGATGATATCCTGAGTGCTCCATATCTTCTTTTACGCTTTGACTGAGCAAGAGGGCAGCTCCTCCCATGCTGCTCTTAATGTAGCTAGTCTACTTTTCCTCTTTTTCCCTGAGAAGGGGTCACTTGGCTCTTGTGAGGGGTTGGCTTTTCTCCACTCCCTGTTCTTGGCTGGCAACACAAAGCGGGAGGCAGCTCCTTCCACACACTGGAACAGGAAGGGCAGTGCTGGGTCTCCAGAGGCTGCAGTCACCCAGCATTTTAATGTAAATCCAGAGTAGCAGCTGGCTCAGCCCTTCAGGCAGCACCTTCTGGGGGGAGTGGCCAGGAAGCACACTGGACCAGTGGGAGGCTCTCAGTGCAATCTGATTGCCTGTCCTGCTTTTGGGAAAACCCCATTTTACGGGAAATGTATGTTGCTGCAGCCTTTGTTTTCAGTTTGAAGAGTTTGTTTTGTTGCTGCTGCTATGGAAGTGCCACCTACCTTTTGATGTTCTTTGGGGGATGTTTGCATGCTATGGACTCGACCTGGAAGAATTTTAGCAGCTGTTCCACCATTCTCCCTAAATCTGTTAAGGTTTGGCCTGCATTCCCTTTATCCTCCTGATAGAATTGTAGTCATTGAATCATAGAATCACAGAATAGTAGAGTGGGAAGGGGCCATGAAGACCATCAGGTCCAACCCCCTGCTGTTGCAGGAGACTAAGTTACACCATCCCACTCAGATCTAATCCAGTCATCCAACAGGTAGGAGACTGCTCTGAGTCTTGAAGAGGTAAGACAAAACCTAAGGGTTCAATTTTGGGATACTTTACTAGCTTTAATGGGAACAAGGGTTGAAGAAAGGAAGAGAAAAACTATCAAGATCCTGCCTAAAATAAGAAGAGCCATGCTGGCCCAGGCCAAGGGTCTATCTAATCCAGCAATCTGTCCACTCAGGAGCCAGCCAACTATCCAGGGAAAACCCCCAAGCAGGACAGGAATGCAAAGTTCCCAGCAACTGCTGTACAAAGGAAGATGATCTCTGAAGCTGGAGGGATCATGTAGCCATCAGGCCAAGGAGCCAACAATATTGTTGATCTTCCATGAATTTGTCTAATCCTCTTTTAAAGCCATCAAAATGAGTGGAAGTGTACTGTCTTCAGGTACATGCAGTTGGAGGCAGAGAGATAATAAGAACAATTTCTATGTTTTATTGACAGGTGGGTCCTGATTTACAGAAGGGGCTAAAGCAACCATTGCCACTGTGTCTTACTGATTTAGATGTTTAAACTGCATTGTTTATTTTTAGTGTTTCATTATGCCTTGTGAGGACCACCTAAAAAGGTGATACACAAATAATTTCAGTTATAAATAAATTGAAATTACCTAAAACCCCTCTAAATCCTGTAAAACCTGCTGTGTCCTGGTCCAGGATATGGTGAGCTATATTTTAAATAGGTTTAGTGTTCAACAAGGCAGGCTTCACCATGACAAAAATGATATAAAAATTCAGCCCATAATACTTCATATATAACTTTCTGCAACAAAAAGGCCTTTGGTAAGGAGAGTGAATATCAGAACTCTGTCATAATAGCTACTTTTCCTTGAAATTTAATGGAAATTATTTCTTCACGTGACCTTGATGCAAATACCTCAATCTTATACTCAGCTTCCACCTTCAATCTAGTTTAGCCTAACACATGCTTCTAATACGGCCTGTAACTGCTTTACATTTGCGTTTGTTATTCCAGCTTTGCAAATTGGCTCAGTAAAAGTCAGGAAAATATGGAAAATATCAAATACATACCTAAAATGACTCAACATATCATGAAAATAAAAATGCTATTTGCTCTGATTGCTTTCTGGTCAGGAAAATAATATTCCCACTGAAATATCAGTTTCAATTTAATTAGAAGCAGCTGGGATCTGTTACTAGATTTGCTTTATTAAGACCTAATCATGAATCTCATGATGGAATTGGTGATGCTACACCACTGGGATAAACAGGCAGGCTTTGACAGGGCTGTATGATGTAGATTTACATGTCTGCTTTCCTTTCCCTGTTGGTGAACATGATAAAAAAAAGTTAGTTCTTAGGTGTTTTGTCTCTAAATCTTTGGTTCTTCACTAAGAATTCTATACAGTACAGAAACTCAGCATATTAAACCTTAATCTGGTAAGTAGGTACTTTTAAAAAAAGGACTTCATTTCAAACTGTTGGTCTTGGCAGAAAGCTGCATAGCGGAAAAGTCAAAGCAGATCATGGATGATGGGAGTGAGAGTGACAAAAAAGCTAATAAAACCAGCCCCATAAATTAAGCCCAAGCAAAGGTATCCTAGAAACAAGACAGAGCTCACAGAGACCAGACAAGGCGAGCTATGTCATGCATAAAAAGAAAATCCTCAGAACTTCTCTCTTCTTCTGCAATTCCAAGCATATCTATGTGAAAGTGCTTGTGTGCAAGCTGGAAACGATGCAACCCTGGAAAAATAATTAAGAAATGAACTCTACTATTTGGTGGCATCTGTCCCAAAAGGAACAAAGTGTCTTTTGTCAAACCTTCTCCTCAGAAAACCTCCTAGAGTTTGAACTGTATCCATGGCCTCTCCTGGAATTAAACCCAAAGCAAGGCTTCATTGTTCCCTTTCACTTTGAATACCGCATGTGGGGGTGAAAATCCTAAGAGGTTTTAAAATATTACTGATCAGCCAGGCTTGGCTGCTTTTTTCCCAGGACATGAATCAACTTCATTGCAACTAACGAAAAGCCATTAGTGTTATCGAGACACAGACAGTATCACTGAATATGAGCAGGGTCAAAGGGTAAACAAATACTTTCAAAGGCAGGGTGATATCCTTTTGCTGTTGGCAAAATGGGTTGGAAAATTTTTGTTTGTTTGAAAACAATCAGATATCCGCCCCGCCCCCAATGCTGAACAAAATCATTAGAAGCAAGATACTGGCATACATTTGTAAAGTAAGATTTTTTAGGGACAAAAATTGGGCTTAGTTTCAGAAGTGGTTCAGAAACCTTAATACAGTATGCCTTTTCTTTAACAGGTCAGATCCTGTCAGATTTTCAAGCTCCACAAGCAGGGAACAACCTCCATCACTGAGTACCTTTCAGAAAGGAACAGAGGTGACATTAGAAACATAAACCTGTTCCAGGACTATGCTAATAAGGCACTGCCAAAGGCATCTTTAGTGTATGACAGAATGAACTGGAAAATTAAAAAATAAACTTTTCCAATAAGTTTCAGCTACAAGTTCATAAACTCTAGTACTCTCTCCTTGGTTACAATCACAACCACTTCTCAGATACCACTTATAGACCAACTTATCAGCAGACTGTGTCCAACTAGGGATGTCATAGTGATCTGCAACAGATTCAAATGAGTTCAGATTTCTATGAATCCAGCCTGCGGATCCTGCAGTGGATTGGCTTTTCCTGAGCTGCTCAGATTCTGTGGACTTGCAGGCTACTTTTCTATATTTATTGAATTTTATGCAAATCTAGTTGCAGAAAAATAAAAAACAAGAGAATGTGTATTTCTGCCATAGGGTAAAGCATGAAAATACACATGTTAAGGGAAAGTTTTGCACTTTGTAAGTGCAAATTTTCACAATTGTGAATGAACATACATTTGAGTAATTAAAAAATCAAATTCCATTAATAAATGTATGATGAAATGGAAGGCACCTGACAGCACATAAAAGGTAGACAAAATTAAATTTAACACAATCTACTCAACTCTAGTTGTAACTGGTTAGGCACTTTGAGATATAAATGATTTTTATTTGGGCGCACAAATAAGAATCCATTTAATCTTAAATATGACCTGCAAGATATGTGCATGTCATACAAGAATTTATGTATTGTTTCTAAGATAACAAGCCATAATGAAAGTGAGGTTGGATCCAGATCAATTGACTTAAGCCAAACTGATTTCAGTAGGAAAGAAATTCCTGGATTATCTGGATCCAAGCTGCAAATGTTTCTAACTTGATCTCCTGATACTTTCTGACCGTTGCTTGCAATTGTGCACAGAATAAAGAGGTTTACCTCTTTTGTGGTTAACTTCTCCTCCTGGTGATCCAGTAGACTTTATTTACTTGGACTTTCAAAGGGCTTTTGACAAAGTCCCTGACGAAAGGCTACTGAGCAAACTGAAAGAAAGTGTCTGTGTGCAGTCCTCTTATGGACCACTTCTGTTAAAGAACAGAAAACAGAGGGTGGGAATAAATAGCACTTTCTCCCAGTGGGAAGATGTAACCAGTTGAGTCAATACCTTTCGATCTATTCATAAATGATCTGGAATGAAGAGTGAGTAGCGAAGTGGCCAAGTTTGCTGATGGCACTAGACTGTTTAGGATGGTTGAGAGAAAACGGTTTTGCAGAGCTCCAAAGGAATCTCTCAAAGCTAGAAAAATGGGCATCAAAATGACAAATGTTCATTGTAAGCAAGGGTAAAGTAATGCACATTGAGACAAAAAATCCCAACTTCAAGTACATGATGATGAGATCTGAGCCAGCAGTGACTGAGCAAGAAAGCAATCTTGGGGTAGAGTTGGACAGCTTGATGAAAATGTTGCCCCAGTTTGCAGTTGCTGTAACGCTCTATACTAGGAATAATTAGGAACAAAATAGGAAATAAAGCTGCCAAAATCTTACTCCCAAATCTTTGGTGTGACCACACTTGGAATACTGTGTTCAGTCCTAATTCCCTTACCTATAAAAATACATTATTGAGTTGAAAAAAAGTCCAAAGAAGGGCAACAAAAATGATATGGGGGCTGGAGCAACTCCCCTATGAGGAGTAGCTACAACAACTGGGACTCTTTAGTTTAGAAAAAAGGCAACTAAGGGGAGGCATATTAGAGGTGTTTAAAATTGTACATGGTGTGGAAAGGGACAGATTATTCCGCTCTCCCGTAACACTCAAACCCGGGATCATACCATGAAGTTGACTGGTGGGAGTACGTCTTCGCACAATGAAGGAGGAAGTGCTTCTTCGCACAACGTATAGTTAAACTATGGAATTTGCTGCCATGGGAGGTGGTGATGGTCACCAATTTGGATGGCTTAAAAAGGTGATTGAACAGATTCATGAGGGAGGAGGCTCTCAGTGGCTATTAGCCTTTACCATGCCTGCATTCACCAGTTGCTGAGGAATTTGGGCAAGTGGCGGTCTTGCACCCATCCTGCTTGAATGGCAGCTGGTTTGCCACTGTATGTATGGAATGCTCAACTAGACAGACCTTTGGTCTGACCCAGCATGGCTTCTCTTATGTTCCTGGTCATCTGTGATCAGCCTTTTTCCAGCTAGTATGACTGAATTGAGTGATTGAGATACTTCCTGAACTCGCGAAGGACATCTACTGTATTCTCTTCGCCTTCATTTCTAACTTGTAAAGAGTCCACTTCCTGACTGTATGATAGATTATGGTAGGTCCTCATCTCATTTTATCCTAATGACTGTGCAACATAAATTAGAGCTGAGGATAAATGACTTGCTCCAGACTGCCCATAGTAAGATCTGTTGAAGATCTGCATACACTGCATGCATGTATTATAAATCACAGTTGTGACTGCTGAATAATAAGAAAAAAAATACCTCAGCAGTGTTCTCAGTAGCTAAACTTGTCTTGCTCAGCAGGGTCCATTGGCAGGTGATGGATCATCATCCTTATATTGCTTGTCCCTCTGAGAAGGACTTGGAGAAGGGAGCGGGATATGGTCTGCCCTAGATGAAAAAGAAACGTGGGGTGAAGTTAACAGATGGATCATTAAGTTTGTGGATTAGGAGCATTTGTATGAGGGATATTAAAGCTTTTGATGACCACACATGAATACTAGGACATGATGAAGTTTAACTGGATGGTAACCAGATAGCATTGCTACATTTTTCACTGCAAACAGGCTTTTTCAGATTGAACAAATATGGTACAACAGTAGCTGCCAGTCCTGTGCGTAAATTTGTGCTTGCTTCTGTCTCAGGAGGGGAACTGAACTGCCTGTGGCTAAAACAAACAAACAAACAAACCCTAGCCTACCTATTAGCTTTGCAGGGATTATCATTTTCACTCATCAACCATTCCCTGGCTTGACTGAGCATTATGCAGTTTTATATGCTATGTTCAAATAGCTGAGTTTCCACAGGTTGAAAAAGGTCCTGGTTAGCCCTCTAGTTAAATTATTCTTATAAATCCTTCATTAAAAAAACCTTCATGTACTGTTTTTATTTATGTATTTCTAACAACTTCTTCTTAAGCAAGGTGCTGCACATTCATGAAAACAGAAGTCAAGAATATGGGAAGCTGCCTTAGCTGCCAGGCTATTTCATCTAGTCCGGTTTTTGTTCAGGCTGATTAGCTATGGCTCTCCAGAGTCTCAGCAGACATCTTTCCTATCATCTGCTCCCTGATCCTTTTAACTGGAGATAGCGGGGAATGAAACTGGGACTTTCAGCATTCAAAATATATGCTATGGTCTTTTCCCAGTATATGAATAAACCAGTAACTGGATTCAGACAACAAGATAATTAGCACTTAAGAGTTGCCAGTGAACTATGGTTTTTGTTGAAACGTTATTATGTTGTTGAAATGTGGATCTGAACCCAACTGTGTTAACAAACTACAGCTTGTTAACTACAAGCAACCCGCGAAGAAATCCATTTTTGTTCTTGTTGCAACCACAAACTGTGGGCTGTCTGTGGTTAACAATCTGAATGTTGTTTTTGTGGCTGAGTTCAGATAATATGATAACCACTGTTTCAATAACAACCTGCAGTTCATTTGACTCCTCCCAACACATCCTTGAGTATGAGTTATCCTATTGTCTGGGCTCATGGAGTTTTTCTCCCCAAGTCTTCTCCACACCAGAGGAAAGTATAAAACATTCTGCCTCACTTGAAATTAGCCACACATTACTTTAAATTTGAGAAACTTTGATGTGATTGGACTATAGGTTCAGAAAAGGACAGGATGAAACATTGATTTCAATGTTTGTCTAGTTTCCACCAACAGTAGTTTAAAACCATACCTCTCCAAGTTTAGACAAGATGGCAAACTGTGATTTGTTTAAAAGTGAAAATGGAAGCTATCATACACAGAGTCATTCAAATAGGAAGAACTGATGGATCCCCATCACACCTGATTTGGGTCTATTGTGGGAACATATTGTATCTGGGATGGATACAGAATGTTCCACTTTCCACATAATGACAGATGGTGGTTTCTTGTGACATAAATGACTCTGCCTGAAATTTGGGATGACACACACATTTTAAAAATTGTTATTTTTGCTTGTCAAAGGAGATTGAAGCATCAAGCTCACAAGCACCTCTCAAGCATCCTTTCTCTAGATGACTTCTTCCCAATTTTGAAGTTTTCAATTTCCAATAACTGAAGAGATTTCAATTATTTTCATTAACATGCAAAATTTGCACTCAAACCCTTTAAAAACTCTTTTATAATTACAAAGATTTTCTTATACATTTTGAATGCAAGGACAGAGAAAACGGGTGGCTTTGCTTCTCCCCACAACAGCAGAAAAAATGGATTAATGGTCTTTTCTTTTTCCAGGGAACTCAGTCATCAAATTCATCTACCTCTTGAAGTCGTTATATCTGTGTTGTGTGAATTTGTGTGGGTCCTCTCTGCAGACTTATATATGTGCATTTCATATCAACATTATATATGAACTTACGTATGTTCACATGTGTGTATATGACTTGGAATGTGCAACAGACTATCGATGCCTATATTCCACCTTGAGCACAAGTTGGTGATTTGGGTGCCATTAGCTGTGCGGGGGAAATAAACTACATGGTTCAACATACTTCTAGATATTCATATAAATATTTCAGTCTATTCACCATGGCATGGGGAGTATAGAAAGCCTGTGTAGATTGAGAAAAAGCCTTTCAAGGTGACTCTGTGCATGGGGCCAGAATCCTCGATTACATTCATAAACCAATACACAGAATCAATGCAGATAATGAGAAAATTAGATGGGAGTCAATAAAGCAGGCAAGAAAAGCAGAACAGGCATTGAAATAAGGTAAAATCCTGAGTACGTTGCTGGAATCAGCAAGAGGAAAATAGGAACATTTTGCCTCTGCAAGATCTCGGCTAAATCATACAGATTTGTGAATGGCTGCACAAATCCCACAAAATTTATGCATGGTATAGAGGAAGTCAGCAGGGAATCTTTTTTCTCCCTCTTTGTAAAATTACTGAAACTTGGGGTCAATCTCATGAAGCGGTCCAGGAAGAGATGCAGGACAGATAAAAGGAAGTCCTTCCTTACAGAACCATAGAATTCATCTTCACAAGATGTGGTGATGATCAATTTAGATGCTTTAAAGGGCAACTGGACAAATTTATGGAGGATAAGGCTATCATCAGGTACTAGTCCTGGTGTGCATATTCCTCCTCCAGTAGCAAAGGCAGTGTGTTTATGTGCAGCAGCTCCTGGGGAACATGGCAGCTAGTTGGCCACTGTGTGAATGCACTGCTGAATAAGATGGACCCTCAGTGTCATCCAGCATGGTTTTTTTCTATTCTATGATCTGCTGTGCTCTAGATCAAACTATGAACAGCACATGGTTATATAATTAATCCAATATGGCAGTAGAGAAAGTTAGTCAAAGAAAGAAAGGATTTTATTTTCCTGCAACAGCTGTGGAAGCACCAGTCAACCTGTGTTCCCCAAAGAATCAAACACCCACTTTGTGTAAACCTCTGAGCAGAAGTAGGCAACTTCAAAAACTCCTGGGGTCATATATGCTGCTTGGATCAGACCCCTCCCTCCCCTGAAACTAAAGCACTATTTTGTAAAAAATGAAATAACAATGCTGAGTCAAACAAGGGTCAAAATTATATTGCTTGTCAGCTAATTTTGACTTTTTTGATGCTTCATAGCCACAATGGACATGGATGACACTGCTGTAAAAAGAGATGTTACTCAAACTGAATGGAAGACATTGGGATAACGATCATAGGAGAGGAAAGCAGAGAAGTGGAAGGCCACTTGAAGAGGTTCAGTACCATGTACTACGGGCTGCTTTCTAACAGGATCAAAACCAAAGTAATGCTCTTTTTTAGAAAACTCAGTGAATTTTCTCCCCTTTTGTCAGTGCAGTTGCCTGTGCAGCTACATGGAACCATACAGCTTCATGAAAATCCACTGGCAAAAGAAAGCTATCCAGGAAGTGACACTTTCACTCTGTTGCGAGCAGCAGAAAAATCTTCACCCAGTGAAGATCTCAGGGAAGTTATCACCAAGTTGTGACACATGGCAAGAGCCTCCCTAGCACATTTATCTTCCACAGTCTATTTTATGGCCTATACATCATCTAGAGCAGATTTTTTTTAAAAAATGAAAGTGTCTTGAGAATAAGTTTATGTAAGATATCAGTCCAGCACACTATAGCTGTAGAGTCATCACCAGAGAAAACTGCTCAAAAGAAGCCGGCGATCGAAGTGTGGCGCATTGGACAGTGAACGTACAGTGAAAGGCAGTATCCGAAGGAAACAAATCCAGAAAGTAGTATCAGTTCATTGCTCTTTGAGGATATTTAGAGGGACTTAGCAGGTTTGGAAAAATGTAGCCTCTTGTAGCCTCTTGATTCCTACGATACCTTCCTTCACTCACCAACTGTAGCCTTACTGTGGTGCGGGGAAGAAAAGGATCCAAGAGGCAAATGCAAAACTGCTCACAACCTAGCTTTCCATTGCACAGTCACAATTAGCAATGAAGCAGTAACAGGAAGGCCTCTTTTCATGGTCCCTTCTATTCCTTGAAGATTTTTCTAGTGGAGAAAAAAGTGTGCACAAATTTAGCTAAGGTTTACATGCATGAAATTCAATGGGAAGTGGAGGTGCTTGAAGGACTGGGGTACCCTGAGAATACAGAATCTGTGCACCACAGGCAAATTTATATGTCTCTTCTTGTTCTTGTTACAGGCCATAAGAAAGGCAACAAGTGTGTGCAGATGCACACTCCATGCACTGCCAGATGGTTCCACAAGAATGCTACTCTTATCACCCTGATATTAGGAATTTGTGAGTACACAGTTCTCCAACATCCTTTTGGACTGAGGAACCCTAGGAAATTGTTTACTGGATTCTTCTGTAAGCTTACATATCAACTTGTTCCTGCAACATGAATTAACGGATGGATGGCTTCTGATTAGAGATGGCTGGCATTTCATTTTATTCATTCTCAGTTTTGAAGAAATTATTTTAATGGAGGTGTTGGGAAAGAGAGCACACACACACACCCTTCCCACATCTCTATGCTTCCAGTGTGCTCAGATCCTAAATGAAGCAAATGATATTATACACTGAGGACCATTTATAGCCAGTTCACCAAAGATCCTGGAAATGGAAGATGTGCTTGATTACCTAATCCTATTCTTTACTTATGGAGCAAGAGGTGATAGTGGGCACATTAATCATTTCATCAGCTGTTTTCTACTGAGTTAACTGAAGCAAAAACTTCACAGGGTGCTTCATACAGGGTGCTTCATTCATAAAGACAGGACTTCTGTGCGGAAATGACATGTGTGCTTAGGCCTACACTGGCATGTATGATGACCACATGTGCCCATTTCATTGCACGTGCAGTCCACAAGCCCCTGTCATCACACTTCTGTGTGACAAAACAGACACATTTCTTTTGGGTGCTAAAGCTTTGCCACAAAAAGCACATGAGACAAGGAGAAAGCAATAGAGGAAT